GTTGCTAAGTGGCGATTCGCTATTGCTTTCCTCCTCGGGGTATGTGGAAAATGGGAACTCCACAGGGGTGGTTTCCGCTGATCCTGCTGTTTTAAGGTGCGCATCTACCCGGTTGACGATTAAGTCAAGGTTAGTCGTATGCGATATCGGTCTCTGGTTTAACAAACACATTGCAGTCAGGTTAAGATGCTGGTAAGTTTCAACAATATCCGGAAAATCATTGGCAATGTTCGTAGCCCGAGCGATCAGTTGGCTTTCTTTAGTATGATTGTTATTTCTGCAAGGTGAATGAGTAAGTGCGTGGGCGCAATGTTAGGATGCTGAGGCGCATGTACACATACATTTCTCGTTCGAGCTTCTTGGAACAGACCAGAAGCGCGCCAAAGGAGAGCCGAGTCGCCACCAATAGCCATCTTCTAGCGAGCCTGTTTTCTTTTCGAAACCGTAGTTTTCTCACAGAACGTAACTCCTCTTCGACTGTCTCCCAATCACTGTACATTTCAGCCAGCGTAAGGTTGATGGCAAGGCCATCAACGCGTTGGCCTCGCTTCTGAGAGATTCTTTGACCTCCCATTCTTTCAAGCTTCAGCAGATGCATACGCCTGATAACATGAAGATATTGAACAATTTGAAAAAGACGTAAGTAAACTTCCTGGGCCATGCGCAAATGAGCTAGAGGATACAGAGTGTCGTACTCATTTCGGGGCTTTCCCTCAGATCCATATGGCAAGGGTGTATTGGAGAAAAGGCCATAGTTTTCCCAGCTTGGGAGGAAAATTCGAAGGAAGCCAGGCGCTCGGCTATCAATAAGGTCGTTCGCAGATTCAATGACACTTATCCCCCCGATAGGCATAGCACTGGGTGAACTCTTGAAGTAGACATTAGGGCACTGGAACCGAAATATCTCCAACAAAGATGGCTCCGGCAAGGCTAGTTGACTCGAGTCCATCGTTCAGTAATCACGAAGCTTGCTTTCAGTGCGTAATGGATCAAAATGTCATTCACAGGGATTTATCGAGAGTTTAGTGTAATGAAATACTTTGGTAGACGTTTAGTTGATTGCTATACCCGCTCAGATCATTTAGTAAGTACATATGTTCACACTATGAGCTATGGCATAAATCGAGGCCTTTTTGGAGCCACTCTATGGAGGAATGGAAACAATGTGGGGTTCAAGCCGCTGCGAGCCAATTTCGGTCCGCAGGAAGTAACCGCTAGTGGAGACCAAGACGTGATCCCCAATGGTAATGTGGAACCCACGTAGCAGAACAATGTAGGGGCAACGGACGCGGAAAAGGCTGGGTCGTCTGCGACACCATAGTGTGCAGGCTGTTCTAGCCAGACTTCCACCACGGAATAGAAAAGACTTTGATACCTGCCACGGAACCCAGCCGTCTGACCAATTGCATTCCTATTTAGCTTCTTTGAATAATGCCCACAATGTCACTTGCAGAATTACCGACTGAATTATTATGTTTTATTATAGACTACGCCCAGCTCCACGGAAGCTTAGGAAATCTTTCACAATCTAATTGGAGGATTCGGACTCATTGTGCTCCCTATCTGTTTCACACAATCAATATCGCTTTCTCGGTGGCTAATTTCAAACGTCTACGTCAACTATCCAAATCCTACATTGCTCAGCATGTGAAGGCCATCCGTTACGAAGCCCCGGAGCTCATAGACCCTCGTTGGTTTTCAATGCACCCGCAAAGTATTCATATCATGCTAATCTCTAGATAGATATCGAAGCATGGGATTATTTTCGCTCCTGCGTTTACACACCATCAGAGTATAACAGAGATCAGAGAGAGCTCTGTTGGAACTTCCACGGCAGAAGAGTCTCATACAACATGATATACTCATATTTTGCTGAGCTAGCCCGTGAACAGCAGACTATTTTAACGGAACGTATAGATTCTATCACATTGGTTCAATGCATTCCTCGCTTCTTGCATCTGCAAAGTATCGAGTTGCCCTTTATTGATAGCACTAAAAAGCCGTTTTGCTGGCTCTCAGGCCGCCTATTCGTTGGTTGGAGAGATTCCTACCCTGTCCACTTTGAGACGGTTATCGATGCTATGGTAGCAGCAAGGCGCAATGGGATTATAGTGCGGAAATTCAAAGTCTCTGGATTTTATTCGAAGATTTCTATGCCAGGCACAAGTCTCTTTAGAAAGGTTATGGAAGCACTGCACAATGTTGAAGACCTGCGACTTGTTGATAGTTCCAGGCTTTTGAATTTTATGCGGCAAGTTAGCCTTCCTTCTGTTCGTCGTCTTGAACTAGCGAAATGTTGGCTATCAGTCAAAGATCTTGAGGAATTCTTCCGCGTACACTCAGGAACACTCCACTCTTTGCACCTCGAGGATACATGGTTACCTACGGAAACCGTTCATGAATGGGGGATTAGTTTATGTTCAGGAAGCATAGAAACAATTGTGGATAGGTTGGCGACTATTCGAAGGTTGGGAACCTTGCGCAGGCTTACGATTAATGAGAAGGCAAGCGGCTGCTGCTACCAGTACAAGGAGCTATTCGACGGGATCTCGACAACTTGGAGTATAGAATAGTGAATTGATTTAGGAAAGAGTCCTTATTATTGGCACCGAACAGGCAATATAAAAGGGTTAAGATGGTGTTTGCCTCTGGCATTATTGCCTACGGGAGGTACACAATCATTGATAATCTAGCTACTTGTCGAGAATCAAACATCTTGTAAAAGCTTACTGGCCAGAACAAAGAATTCAGCCGTTACAAATATAATGATTTTTTTGGTAACATCTTAACAAAGCTCACTTCAAAAAGAGCGCTTAGTGTTGGATGATATGGGGTTACACCGTGTTATGGACATAGACACAGTTAAAGAGAGATATCTGCTCCAAGGGCTATTTTAGGTCCTCCAAAAATGGGACAGTAAAGTGGGAGCTGTCCGTACATAGCTGGTCCTCCCTTGGTTCAGGCTTCTATTGTTCTATACCTGGGCATTACTAAGCTGGTTTTCTCTCTCGAGGTCGTGGAATTTCCCCATCGGTTCTATCGAAGCGATGCATTGGCCCTCCACCGCCAACACCGTAGTATTTATATCTCAATACGCTCTACTATCTGTAATACTACGCCTATTTTAGAAGGCCACCGAAGTGTAGATACCCCAGTATACAATAATTATTATCTGGACCAACCCAAATAGGATGAGTGTCATGTCAATCTTCTCCAACTGCTAAGTTAGTAGATGCGACAATGCGAGTCCTTGTCTTCAGTGGAAATATTTAATTGTGTTCGTGCTCATGGCACTCGCGGAAATTAGCCCCACTATTTCGCGGACCCCTTAGGGACTGCAGCTTGGCCATAACCTTTCGAGGGCGTATATAACTGGGCGATAGTGACACAGACGCCCTCCGTCCTATACAATGCATATGGTTACCAGTGGTTTCTAAACATAATTCACAATATGGTTATCGAAAATTTTAATGAATTTATACAGTCTGTCGACAAGGTTTACGCCGTTGTATTTGCCAGTTTGTTTGGCATTCTGGTATTCTACAACATCCTAAGTGGATTGTATACCATGTTTTCGAGGTGTCGATACTATCATCTAAGAAGGCTGATGTACCAAATACCTTTTCGAAATATGTTTAGAATACCGTCACTTCAGCGTCTAGTTCTCACAACAGCATATCTAGTGGGGACAGGTGTCTGCAACTTTGTGGGCGTCCAATCTCTGCCAGAAGCAGGATCACGGGCAGCTCGCCTGTCATTGATTAACCTCATGTCTTTGTTCTTCTCTGGGGGCAACGAGTTTGGCGCACGCCTTCTCGGCGTGTCACTTGGGACGTATGGAGCCTTTCATCGGACTGTTGGGTTTGTCACTGTTATTCAAGCCACCATCCACGTTGTGATCATTGCGAAGACGAGATCAATTTCTGCATCGGATAACTTGCAGTTCTATGGTATCTTGGTATAGTCTCCCTATTCTTCATATATGTCTAAACAGAACTGACAAACACCGCCGCAATAGGCAGCAAGCATGTTTCTTTCCCTTGTTATCTTACCTTTAGTCAGGAAAAGAGTATACGAGGTTTTTTTAAGGACACACCAAGGATGCGCAATAGTGGCGCTTTATGCCATTTGGCAGCACATTCATATCATGCAAAGCACTGATGCCTGGGTGTATCTTCGGGGGTGTGCCATTGTTTTCATTGTGTCGTTCGGAGCACAACTAATCCGTATACTCTTTCGAAACCTGGTTATTGGGAGAAAATGCACAAAGCTCACATTGCATACATATGGGGAAAACATTGCGCGCTTGACGTTAACCCTTCCTCGGCCATGGGGTGTGCGAGCTGGGGAGCGTGTTGTACTCAGCATCCCTTCGATCGGGCTATTCTATCTGGTGCAGTCGCACCCTTTTGCAATTTGCTGGTGGGAAGACGATGGCACCGAAAAAGCAGTTTCTGTCTCACTTCTTTTCCGGCCACGTTCCGGCTTTACCCGAAAGATTCTCGATCGTCTTGAGCAAGATCGAGAATATACTGTATGGATTGACGGCCCGTTTGGTCCAGCATCTATCAGCTCATATGGCCTTTGCGGCCATATGGGAAACTATGGACATGTTTTCATGGTAGCTACCGGCATCGGAATTGCCGCACAGCTCCCCTACATCAAGGAACTCTTAAAGCAATATCGCCAGGCGCGAATTCGAACTCAAAGGATCTCTCTTGTATGGCAGTTAGAACAGGAAGGAGACTGGGAGAGTGTCCACGACTGGTTACAAGTACTAGTAAAGGAGGACGAGGGATATGTCAGTATTTTTGCTTCTGTTTCGAGCAAGGGCCTTGCTGATACAGTTGCAGTTACTTAGTGTCACAATCTACGATGCCTTAAACCCATCATTAAAAGGAGGTCTGCAGCGTTTCGGGTATCATGACCTGATCGAAGTCCATGGTGGAGAGCCGAACTGGGAGCAGCAGATGTCGACTGAGATGGAAAAGCAGAAAGGCAACATGCTCGTAGCAGGTAGCCTTGACCAGTCACCTATTAAATATATCCAGCGCTAACCACGTTTCCAGTATCTGCTCGTCGTCCTGTGCGGGATCAAATGTTGCAACTGGTGAGGGAGAACATCATATGCGGTGTAGAACTTTTTGAGCAGGAGTTTCAGCCATGGACTCGAAAGAGCAGTTGGTGGTCATACCTTATACCATAGAATATGCTAGAACGACACAATATGTGCCTTTGTATGCTAAGTTAGATGGGGCGACCAGCAAATAGTGTGGTGGCCAAAACGCTCCGCTACAATTCAAGGTATATCATTACAGTCTCTGCAGACATCCACAACCATTTATGTGAGGAGAATAGCCGCGTACGGATAATAGCTACGTACGGAGAGTAATTGCATATGGAGAATAGTTGCGTACAGAGAGTAATTGCATATGGAGAGTAGTTGCGTACGGAGAATAGTTGCGTATGGAGAATAGTTGCGTACGGAGAATAGTTGCGTATGGAGAATAGTTGCGTACAGAGAGTGATTACATATGGAGAGTAATTACATATGGAGAGTGATTGCATAGGGAGAGTAATTGCAAATGGAGAGTGATTGCATATGGAGAGTGATTGCATAGGGAGAGTAGTTGCGTACGGAGAATAGTTGCGTATGGAGAATAGTTGCGTACGGAGAATAGTTGCGTATGGAGAATAGTTGCGTAAGGGAGTGACTCCGTAAGCAACTAATCTCCATATGCAATCACTTTCCATATGCAATCACTCTCCATATGCAATCACTCTCCATATGCAATTACTCTCCCTATGCAATTACTCTCCATATGTAATTACTCTCCATATGTAATCACTCTCTGTACGCAATCACTCTCCATTTGCAATTACTCTCCCTATGCAATCACTCTCCATATGTAATTACTCTCCATATGCAATTACTCTCCCTATGCAATCACTC